TGGGATTTCGTGCACTACAGCACTGCTTCTAAAAGATCACCTCGCCTTCGCTCTAGGATTTCCTGCCGCAGGTGAGCACTGCTCATGGCGAATGGTGAAGGGAGCCGTGTAAATGTTCTCAGCATCATGCGAAATCTGACAGCTGGGCAGAAGATGCCACGTGCCTGTTTGCATCCGCCTTGCGTGTGTGATGTTAGTTGTACATCCAGGCGTTGATGTTGGCACCAGGCGTTGATGTTGCCCCTGCCGTCGCCGCTGTCGGCGGGGTTTGTGGTGAGCTCTCCTCAGTGCGTGGTTGCGCTGGCCGTGAGTGAGGCGCAAGACGACATGGATGGTGTGGCCGTTTTAACAGCGACATGGAAGGCCGACTTGGGCTCGAGAATACTAATCACCGCTCGCTACCGCTCCCTTATGACGTGCCATATTCCGTGCCGGTGAAAAATACAAACAGGATACAGACGGTACAGTTAGACAAGGAAAACCTCAATCCGTGCGACACATCCCGCTTTCAAGCCCAAAGTTAAATGCTATCACGCGAAGGCATGGGACTAGATCGCCATGCATTGTCATAAGCCCTGGTTGCAATCGATGTCGTCAGGGGCGTATGCAGAACTTCGCAATGGGGGGCACAGCTGATGATTCCCACCCAAAAACGTACGTAACGATACGCGCGAAATTTCTAGCATGGATTTTTGTTCGGCCGTTTTCAGTGTGCATTTTGTAGTGTACATACATATGTAATTTGTTTTTTCACCGTGAACACTCACTGACATGCACTAACTTTTCATTACGGGGGCACGTGCCCCCAACGACCCCGTCCCCACTCCACTTACACATTGCACCACTTGTTTAGCCGTGAAGGCCTTAGCCTTCAGCAACTTCGCTGCATCCGCCACCTTCGCCAGCTTTGGGGCGGTGGTGGTCGACCTCTGTTGATTTCAGTTCAGCTATGCATAGAGCAAAAATGTGTAGCAACGGTACATTTTCATACCAAAAGTCTAAGAAGGTTGTTTTAAGCGATGAGTGATGGTTGTCCTTTTATGTCAGACCTGATCACATGTCGCCACTTATAACGCGCTTTCGGTGTCCCCGTACCAAGCTACCAAGGCACGCTTTCATTTGAGGTCGACGTGAAACGCGACGCCATGTTATGTCATCTAACGACGTGCATGATCTTTACCTTGGGGGACCTTGTAAGCTACACGATACGACATGATACATTAGATTGGTTGAATCATATGCACATTGAAGGAAGGCACGCTCATATGCACATGAAAAGAAGCGCGCTCATATGCACATTAAAGAAAGGCGCGCTCATGTGCACATTAAAAGAGGCGCGCTCGTATGCTCATTAGAAGAAGGCGCGCTCATATGCCCATTAAAAGATGCGCTCATCTGCCCATTAAAAGAAGGTGCGCTCATATGCACGTTAGAAGAAGGCGCGCTCATATGCACATTAAAAGAAGGCGCGCTCATAAACACATTAAAGGAATGTGCGCCAACGTGATTTTGGACGTTTTTAGCATTTGGCATAACGTGACCTTGAGCATTGACGGCATATGTGCCGTCAGACATGTTGGCCATTTTGATTCCTTTGGCCTTCTTACGAGGTTTTTCCTGTAAGGGTTACGTGGATGCATTGGACGTCACCTTCAAGATTTGGCCGGATTCCCCTTAAAAGTTGTCTTTCAAAAGCTTGCTATTTTAGTCAAATTGGCGACCCATTTTGCCCGGTCCTTGACAGACAAATATGTGCTCTTACTGAAACAGGATATGATGATCGCACACTCCGTTGGCTACTGCACTTTGTCTTATTGGTCTGAGCGATCGAAATTATTTCGCGGAAGTAACCGATAGCGTGGAAAGATGCTCCGACCATCCCCCCAGCCAATTTCCAGCCATGAACAATGCAGATATATGCATAGGAGCAGGTCTATGCATAGGAACATGGCAAAGGACCACCGACATCGGATGGGCAATCGGGGTTTGATAATAGAGGTGATCTGTTACGGTGTGGAGGGGCGGCGGCGCGCAGACTGCGGGAGGGGTCGGCGCGGAGCAGGGGCGCGCCGGCCGTGGCACGTCCTGTGCCGCCGGCGCCGGACGCCGCGCCCGCCGGCCGTCGGCGACGCCGGGGAGCGTCGCTTCCGGCGCGGGGAGCGGCGGCTGGGCGAGCGCACCGTGCCATGGGCGGGGTGGAACGTGAGGTTACCGCGGCGGCAGGCGTGAAGGCGACACCGGTGATAGCCAATGGTAGATTTGAGGAGCGCCGTGGAATTGCCTATGGCGTGGACAATTGTTTAAAGGATGAGATTTGATTGGTGGAGTGCATTACTTGAACAGCGTAAGGAGTTGCTATCCGCAGTCCGGGTTTGCAGCGAGAAACGAAGGGACGGTGTGCATGACTGCCGAACGTGATTACTCCAGAGTAATCAGGATCAGGAGGAATCGGCCAGAGACCGATAGTCATGACTTCTATAGGTACATGATTCCTGATTCGGGCTATTTCATTTGCTCGACTTCTGGATGCAAGGCAGGTTCTGGGGAAGTCGGAGAATGTTGATCCGCCCATCCCCCCCCCCCCCCCCGTATGCTCCCAAGTGTCATCGGTGGTGTATAGGATGGGGAGCGAGGTAGGACCCGAAAAGATATCTAGCCTGTGCCCCCTCCCTACCCCGCTCCCGCTCCGTGGAAAAATCTCCAGCCTTGGTGATGCGTGGGGTTGCAGTCGCACATCGCGGCGCATAAGCTAAATTTCAGGTTAAAATTGTTTCGTGCTCAAGAAAGATGCTTACTTCCCTTTGATTATCTGATCCCCTCGCCGGACTTATGCTCTTATCTCGGTGGCTCAGTGTAAAGTAATTATACTTGAACAGAGTCGGGAGCAAGTAGTTCGTTTTAACGCCCTACTTGGACGACCCCATGAAATCAAGCAGCAACTGGTTTTGAGCGTCCCCGGCTGGCTTTTCCCGCCGGAGCATGTTGAGCGGCTGCCGCTCGCCCGAGCGCCAACTCTCGACCCCGCTCGTATCCGGTCCCATGGTCTAATTTGGGAACAGATGAGCGGCTCAGACCGCCACCCGGACGCGCCGGCCGGCCTGCCGTGCTCGAGTGCCGGACCGCTTGGACGAGGTCGCGGCGACGTCAGAGGACCGCGCCGGTGCGGAGGCCCGGCCCGACACCGACGCCGGCGCTCTGCTGCCCGCGTCCGCCGGTCCGTGCGTGCGCGGCGTGGCGCTCTGCTGCTCGCGTCCGCCGGTCCGTCCGTGCGCGGCGTGGCGCTCTGCTGCCCGTGTCGGCCGGGCCGTCCGTGCGCGGCGTGGCGCTCTGCTGCTCGTGTCCGCCGGTCCGTGCGTGCGCGGCGCGGCGCTCTGCTGCTCGTGTCCGCCGGTCCGTCCGTGCGCGCGCGGCGCTCTGCTGCTCGTGTCCGCCGGTCCGTCCGTGCGCGGCGCTGCGCTCTGCTGCTCGTGTCCGCCGGTCCGTCCGTGCGCACGCGGCGCTCTGCTGCTCGTGTCCGCCGGTCCGTCCGTGCGCGGCGCTGCGCTCTGCTGCTCGTGTCGGCCGGTCCGTTCGTGCGCGGCGCTGCGCTCTGCTGCTCGTGTCCGCCGGTCCGTCCGTGCGCGGCGCGTCACTAACTCTGCGCTTTCCCGGCAGGATGGTGCGAGAGCGGGCGGAGCGTATGGAGAGGACCAAACGCGAGATGGAGGAGGAGCTCGCCTCCAGGCAGCGCCAGAGGGAAGAGGCGAAGATGCAGAGTGAGGCACAGAACAAGTGAGTCGCCGCCTGCACCGCGCTCCTTGCGTTGTCTCTGGAGTCGTGGTACGCAGGTTAAGACCTTATCGTTTTACCTTGGTGATAGACGCTCGTGTGTGGTAGTAATTTGCCCAGCATCAAGTGGCGTTTTGTTAGGATGCTTGTATCATCAGCAGTTGACCTAGCACCAGCACGAGCTAGGCCTAGGTCAAGCAGCACCACTGGTGCGGCCTCATAATCATCCTGACCACATGAGGTGACTAAGTTATCTGATCTGTCTCGAAATTAATCCGACCGTTTTAACCACATGTTGGATGAAAGGCCTCGAGTTCTCTTGTTCCACCACTCGACTGTCGATTGGCTTGAGCTCATCAGCACATCAGCAATCAATAGGGAGCAGGGAAGCTCTGTCGTCAATGAATTTGCCATTCCACCCCTTTTTGTTACGTGTTCCGGGGTTCAACGTCATCATGCTAAGCCGTCCATGGGTGCCATGAGTGGCATCATCAGTGCTCCCTCGGCGGCCACTGGATCTCTCTTGCTGCCCGCTCGCCCGGTGGCCGCTGGACTGCCCACCTCCCTTTCCGCCGGCGGCCACTGGACTCCTCGCGCCTCCCGCTCCGCCGGCGGCCGCCGGACCCCTCGCGCCTCCCGCTCTCTCGGCGGCCACTGGACCCCTCGCGCCTTCCCCTCGGCGGCCGCTGAACCCCCGCGCCTTCCGCTCCGCGAGCGGCCGCTAGACCCCTCGCGCCTCCCGCTCTGCCGGCGGCTGCTGGGCCCCTCACGCTTTCCGCTCCCTCGGCGGCCACCGGACCCCTCACTCCTCCCGTTCCGCGGGCGGCCACCGGACCCCTCACTCCTCCCGTTCCGCGGGCGGCCGCTGGACCCCTCATGCCTCTTGCCCCCTCGGCGGCCGCTGGATCCCCCGCGTCTCCCGCTCCCTCGGCGGCCGCTGGACCCCCCGCGCCTCCCGCTCCGCGAGCGGCCGCTGGACCCCTCGCTCCTCCCGTTCCGGCGGCGGCCACTGGACCCTTCACTCCCGCTCCGCGGGCGGCCGCTGGACTGCTCACGTCCCGCTCCACGCCCGGCAGGCTGGCGATCGACTACGCGGCCGAGCTGGAGCGACGCGACGCGGCGATCGAGGAGCAGCGCCGGCTCCGGCTGCAGGAACTGCGCCGGCTGCAGGAGCGGCTCGCCGAGCGGCTGCGCCAGCACCAGCGCTGCCGCGAGGAGGAGGAGCACCTGCGGATGGAGCTGGAGTCGGAGGAGCGGCGCCGCGCAGCCGAGCGCGCTGAGCGCGACGAGGCGCAGCGCCAGCTCTGCCGCATGCAGGAGATGCGACGCGCCATCGAGCTGCAGCTGCAGCAGAAGCAGGAGCAGCGTCGGCTGGACGAACTGCAGCGCCAGGCCGTCCATAAGACGGTGAGGGGCGATGGCGACGGGACAGCGAGAGCGTGTGAAGATGTGCAGGGGTATGGTGTGGATGGATGGACATATCATATATTTGTTTGCTCTAGGCGTTCCGTAGGAGTTGTTTCCCTGTTGAGCTGTTTTTATCTAGAGAATGAGGCAATAAGACAATTTGGTTTTATTGGGTGGCGGATTAGTTCACGCTTCGTACCTAAATCATCCATGAGTTGCTCACACCATGTGTGCGTTGATCATTACGTTGCCTTATAGCTTGATTACGGCGTGCCATGAAGCACTCACTCATAACACGAGACCCATCCATTTCACTGGGCGCCGCCTCCCCTTCTGTTACATATGATGACCCCCAGCTGACGAAGCGCGCTGTCCGCGGCGGCCGCGCGCTCACGCGGCCCTCTCCGCCTCTAGATGATGGAGAAGCTGGCCGAGGAGGAGCGGCTGGAGCTGCTGACGCTGGCGGCGCGGCGGCGGCGCGAGCTGGAGCACCGCCGCCAGGTGGAGCGCATGATGGAGGAGAACCGGCGTCGCCGCGACGAGGAGATCGCCCAGCTGTGCCACGAGAAGCGCGAGCTCGAGCGCATGGAGGCCGACCGGCTGCGCCTGGTCGAGCAGGAGCGGCGCCGGCTGCTCGAGCAGCACGCCATCAAGCTGGTCGACTTCCTGCCGAAGGGTGCGTGAGCGGCTGCTCTGTCGCTGGCGAGCGGGCTGCTCGGAGCCGGCGGCCGCCACGCTACCGAGCTCGGAATGGCCGTACTACGGGCGCGCCGGCGCGCGGTGGTGAAGCGCTCGGCTGCCGCCCGCGCTTTAGACACATACTTTGTTGGACACATACGTCGCGGGCCTCTTGCGAGGCCTTGCCGCCTTAGGTACAGCCTCCGGGCTGATCCTCAGAGGCTGAAGACGGGTCGGGCTGGAGGTGGCAGTGCTCAGCTGCCGCACAACGGGGACTGTTTTATCGAGGACAGACGGCTAACGTGTGTCACTGCACGTCTGGGACGTGGTGGCGGGGCTGTAGCACTAGCGAGGTGCAAAGTGTGGGGGGTGGTGCTGCCGACCGAGACGGGGCGTCGGTTCGCCTGTCTGATCCTTGCACCTTAAGCCGGCTATGGGCAGTTGTAGGGTCGTATTGGGCCCTCTCTCCGACCTGTCCGATCCCTGCACCTTAAGCCGGATGAAAGTAGCTCGGAAGTACCTGGTATGCTATCGTGATATATCGTAGGTGACGTACCTGGAATGTGGCGTTGGTTTGAGGCTAGTTTTCGGGTCTTTCGTCGAGAGAAGGCTGGGTGCTAGATGATAGCTTTTTGTGTGAGCTGCAACACTTGCCAGTAAGTGTTTAGCTGATGTTGGTCTGGGCTTTGGTACCGAATAATTCCCCTATTTTCTGCGTTCAGATCCAGGCAGCTACGCGGGCTTTAGCTGTATTTCGACATAAACTGCGGGATTATGTTCGACGTTTGCAGAGACTCCCCGACACTACGTCACTTTCAGGGACGCCTGCAGCGGGACGGTGCACTGCAGGAAATATTGGATAGGGCTCGGTTTTCAGAAGAGCTTAGCCTTCTATACAGTCGTTTCGGTGTATTCATGAGTGCTCGTTTCGGACGGAATCCATGGATTCCACTCACGCGGATGCATACCATCAATAATTCATGTCCCGACGAACGTTAGGTACGAAGGTTGCGGTGATGAAGGTTAGGATGATGGCGAGCAGTATTTGCTAGGCGCACTTGCCACCATCTCCAGTAAGCTGGTGACATTCTGGCGAATGCGTAGCAGAGACGTGCTCAAGCCAGGATGGTGTTCACAAATTACCAGCATTACGGGTGGGTCGGCCGTGCAACATCTTAATCTGTGTCGCCATCTGTTGAGCTCTGGAGACACTGCTGATTCTCCCAGGGCCACCCAGCCGCGCTTGTTTGTCAGTTCACGCTCGTTCGCGGTCGTCTGCGTGACGCTGGTCGAGATCTGGCGATGTTGCCCTGTTCTCTTGCATTCGTGTTCCTACGAACTCGTCTGTTCAGTGCCGGTTCAGGTGCTGTACCCATTAGACCGGCCGTGTAACCTCTTGATGTTTCATGTAGCCCCGCCCGAGCGGGGCTAGACGGCTTAGTGTTACCTTGCGTGTCGGCTCTTATGTACCTGCGTCCAGACGCGGTCGTGATCTGGCGCCTCGCACTGTACTCTCTCGTGTATAGCCTCCGGCCCACCGGCGAGGCTCCGACCAGCCGCTGCCTGCCGCCGGCGCTGACTGCGCACCTTTTGCTGTGTTTGGCAGGAGTGTTTCGGGACGAGAAGGAGCTGCAGGAGCTGGGCAGCCAGTCAGAGGCCGTGGACACGCTGCGAGAGAATGCCGAAGAGGGAAGCTACGTCCGCATCTGCTAGCCAGGCTCGGATGTCCAGCACGAGGGTGTCGTCCGGAGTCGGCGGGTCAGGAGCCGTCCCGGGCGTCGACGCTTCCCACGGACGCTAGCACGATCTCATCGAGTACGAAAATCGAGGCGCCGCCGCCGCGACCGTGTGGGCGGCGGGCGGCCGGGCCAGTGCTAACGAGGCTGCTCGAGCGGGGCTCTTGCCGTGCAGGAGCGGGGGGGGGGGGGCGCCGGCTGACCCTCGAGGGTGCGGTCAGGCGGACTAAATTGTCCTGTGTGTGGCCGCGGCTGAAGCGCGGTGGTCCGTCCGATATACTCCGTCCAGAGATGTGTTTGTCATGTGTCGCTCGAGGAGTCTGACCACCGGCTGCCATCCTGGCGAGCAAATACATTCCGCCCCGTGGTTGTGCTTTGCTGTTGGCGGTCAGCGTGACTCTCTTGAAACGTCCTCAACGTGGGTGGCGTAACTTAGACAGATGCTCCTTTTATGGTACGTTTGTTTTAACTAGCAGTCAACATCACTTGGCTTCGCGATGAAATTGGGTGTTTGCTGGTAGGGTAATGATTGTGCAATGAGCCAATCGAACGGCATTACTTTTCTCCAGGAAAAATTTTCGGGGGTCAAGCCCGCTTTGTGTAATGTGGCATAGTGCAGTCTCCCACTTGATCCGGATACTTCACGCCTTGAATTGGGATTTTTACTGATTGCCAAGGACCACATTTGGCCTCGTGCAGGTTTCGTCCTTATGTGAGGCGCAGAGGACCAGCTACCAGGGGCGCCTCATGACGTCTAGCATGGAAGCTGTGGGTGATTTGGACCGAGTTCCGAATGCACGTAACAGCCTGCCATCGTTCTGCGCTGATGACGCCGCTGGCGCGCGATAGGTGGCGCGCGAGTGCCTCCGGTCTGATCGTGGATCCCATTGCGATGCTGTGGCGCACACCAGCCGTGGCAGTCAACGTCACGCCAGAGCAGAATTGTGCTTAGTCCAGCCGATGAGCGATATGTTTGAGGTGCCCCCCCTCCCGTCCCTCGGGTTTTCACGCGCTGTGCACGATGCATCAGCATGCACCCGCGTGAGGCTCCCGAGAGACTCGTCACGTGTCTTGTCATTGTGTCTTCAGTTGAAATACTTTTCGTGTTTTGAGAGCGAGTCTCTCGAGGAACGTCATTAATCGAGTGCCAAGAATGAACTACTAACTCGCTCGTGAAATCCTAAGCGCGGAAGCAGCACTTATCTGTTTAAACATTTCAAAATTGTACCAATCCCAAAAGAAGCAAAAATGCCATAAATATTAAAAAATTGTAGGGTTCTTCACTTACGTATTCGTCTCTACGCAGAAGATTCTTAAAAAGTGAGGCAACGCTGTCAGTTTTTTTAGGCAAATATAAGCTGAGACCGCTGGCACAAACAACAAAACATATATAACATACACCTGGCGAAACTCCGTTCGTCAATGTCCGCGACTGCATGCGGGTTAGACGCGTATTTAACGTGGGACGAACGAAGTGTCAGCGGAGATGAGCATTATTGCCCTGTTGACATTCTCAAACTTGAACGGACAGAGCCAGGTGCCCTTGGAACCCCACCCCTCTTCCACACGATTTGAGCAGACAGGCATAGCCATACATGGCCACACATGGCCATATCCTGCTTATCTTAAGCCCAGCAACTCGAATGCTCCAGACTTGGACGAGGGTGTTTTTGTCTGCCCTTCCCGTGTGATTATTGGCAGCTAGACGGGCTGTGGGGTCCTGTTGGCGCTCCACTTCTCCGCTATTCTACCACCAGGACATGACCTAGTCATCGGGGTTTGCGTCACATTCTTTCGTCACATTCTTGTTAGGGCTATATACGTGCATGCTATTTCCCACAGTATATTGTAATTCTGTTCGCATTATCCGCGGCTTTGGATTTACACACACCATTAATCCCACGCTTGTGGATCACAGCAATCCTCGTTTCGCAAAGCGCGTAGAGCTCTGGGGTCCAATGCGAAACAGCCTCTCGCTTCTGCCGTTTTGTGTCTGCGGTGATCCCAAGATGGAAACTTGCTGTCAGCGACAGCGTCGGATCCGCCGTCCTTCACCAGTCACCGATATGTGCCCCTAAACCGACGTTCTTTATTGGTCAAGCTCTCTGTCAGCTGTTGGCAAACAACAAAAGCGGTCTTGAGAAAACAACCCGGCATTGGATGGCGTTCGGATAGTTGAATGGTTTGTGGGCGGTCCACCCGTCAGTGCTGCACATTTGGTATTTCATTTTGCCTGTTCCGGTTACCAGCAAGCGACGCTGAATCCAGCAAACGGTCAAAAGCAATTGTTCTGAGCTTGGCGTTTAAGTGGCGTGCTGCTGGTAAGCTGGCAGTGATGCCCATTGGTTGCCTCTTCCATTGCTTGTTTCTCCCCGCTCTGGTAATATTCATCTCGTGTGCCTGTGACGTCAGATCGACATGGTCTGTGATTTGCTTCGATTCGTGTTCTGTGGTTGTTTTTCGGTTGCAAACAGTGCGCACCCTTTGCCAATAGAATGGGAGGTAGAATGTTGATTTATTGCTGTGCTGCGTTATAAAGATACAAACGTCTTAACATTGTACATACAAATTGTTGCGCAGTGGTTTATTCTGCGCAAGACCGCATGGATCTGCGACCAGCGGTTGCCAAAGCATCGGCTTGTGAAGGGTGTTTTGCTTAACTGGGTTGCTCAAGCCAACAGTGTTCCCTACAGTTCCTGTCACACTCGCCCGGCCATTGACCTGGCCTGGTGCGAACAAGGGCATACGCTGGGCGAGTCTCACTTAAGCTGTTTGAAAATTTTGCTTGAAACGGCCCGGCCGTGCCCAGTGCGTCACACATGGTTCCTTGAAAGCTGCGATGAGCAACATTAAAGGGAGTGTCTCACCTGTGGGGCATGTTTCATAAAAGTACTCTGTGGTGGTGGTGGTGATTTGGTTTTAAGGGCGCGTCAGCATCGGGGTCATTTTGCGCCCAATAAAAGTACTCTGGTGAAACCTCAGGACCACTTATTTTAACAGTACCACTGGGTAGTGGCACTGCAGCACCATCAAAACGTAACAACGATACAAATTATAATTACGTTCGTTATTGTAGACCAAATTACGATATCACTGTTTTGTAGCAGCCCTGCACTTCTTCCTTTCTTGGTAGCCCCAGAGTGTATCCCGAGCTCGCGACAACTGCAGTTGTCGCGACCACCCCCGCCGCAATAACCGCAGTCGTCGTGACAACGGCGGAATCTGCTGAGGGTCGTTGTCAGCTGGTACGGGTTAGAGGCACCGCTTTTGAGCTGTTTTCATCCGCACATTGCGGGTCTGGAGCTTAAAAGTGTCACCTCTACTGGTGTGAATGACGTCAGTACAAACCCACGTTTGTGATCGGCACAGCGGGTTACAAGGGCCTGTTACCGAGAAGCGCATTGATGAGGTTTGAACCAGTGCGTCATGATAGACCATGTGATACTCCGTTCCCCGAAGCCAAAGTGCGTTCCGAAAAAGTCACTAGGCGACGCCAGGGGGCGGGGGAATCAAACGTTCAACACGGCGTTTCGTTGAATTCTCGGGATAAGAGCCTCCTGTTTGCATATCTTTTTTTAAACACAGTGTTTCAAGTTTTCGGAGCAATCATTACGCAAGCATGTCAACAAATCAGTGCGTTGCCAGCTATGCAGAGCACGCACGATGGAAAACGCAAGACAAATGAAATGTATTACCTTCATGGTGGTGAGCTGGGATTGCAATGAGATTGTTACCGCACGAGCGCGAATCAAAATTCTGAGCTATTTGGAGGGATTTCGAGAAAACTGGCAGTATTGATCGAATCGGACGCATCTGATCAACAATAATTGAAGTGTTCACCGAAGGTGTCATATTTCCTTTAAATGTGTTGATATGCAAGCTATAGGTTCTGGGTGTAGTTTTCTTTTGTAGCGTAGTGCCCTCCCTAATTACGTAAGTTGTTAAGCTTATTAGCGAGGAACATTATTCACATAGATGAGACATTAGTACTAGCCGTATTCCTTGGAGAAAAACCAGGAGACTGGAGATAAAATTGGATTGATATTTCGGCAACATGCCTTTATGGAGACAATAGCAGAAGTGAATTCACTTCTGCTATTGTTTGGATAAAGGCATGTTGCCGAAATATCAACTCAACTTATTTCCATTCTCCTGGTTTTTCTCCGAGGAATAAGGCAAATACCACTGTCTTATCTTTGTATCCTTAATGTTAAGTTGGTGGCAAATTGGTGCCTCTAACTAATACGCATATCTCCTTACTACACGACATTCTTCTTCGCTGAGACCGAGTCGACAGTTACATGACCATGATATGCATCTGCGCTTTGAGCCATCTGCGGGGATAGCCGACAATATTTTGTCGAGTCGCTCTGCGCGTTTGCTCTGTACGAGCCGTTGTCATTTTACCCATCTGGCTCCCGGAGGTGAGCCGCTTGACCAGCCGCCTATGGCATGCTTGGCTAGCCGTTCGCCATCTCCGTCCTCGCCTCGCCGTTTGCCTATAGCTACTGGAATGAGTCGAGGACTCTTCATTTCATTTATGTGGGTTACGTCGGAGAGCGAGAGTGCGGGCGTAGCATCAGAAGGCAGGTGGCATTGTCAGGCTATGGCTCAGCGTCTAAAGTAGCCGGAAAGTCCATCTGTCCTCTGCCAGTGCATTGTTCGTGCATTTGACTGGTCGCCTACGCTTGCTCACCGCCTGAACAATCCAAGTTTCTGAAGTGACTGACTTGCCTCGCATCGTAGACGCTGCGGTGAGCTATGCAGGATCGCACAACACGGCAACGGCTCTCCTCCTGGGTCGTGCTTGCGGGTTGTAACATCCATGATGGATCTGGATCGGCACATGAGGCCGTCCCTGGGATTCTGCGAGGCCAGGGACTCTTGCTCACCGCTCGCTTTGCACACTGAGCGTCGGGTGCATTGAGTGACATGTTGGATCTGTTGGATTTGTTTACGCAATGGAATCCTGATATTGGACATCGTAGAATTTGAGATCAGAGATGCGTTGCGGGCTTCAAGTGTTGAGACAGGAAGGACGCTGTTGCTCTCACACCTCCCGGGCGCGCGACGGCGACTGCATGAGCATGGCGTACGTCAT